AAATTTTGATTTTCAATAATTTAAAAAAAACCGTTAAAATTCGATATTTTCGATTTACTCTTATGCTTAAAAGTTAAAAGAGTCTAAATATTTTGATTATTGTAAGGTGTACAGAAAATACAAATCTAAGCATCCGGTGAAAATGTCATGTTTATACGGTTTTCTTTTTAGTTACCTACGCCAAATCCAAAATCAAATTTTGTTGAAAACTAGTTTTCATTATTTTTTTTGTTTGACACTTCACAATGTCGGACATTTTACCAAGAAAATAAAAAAATTACCAACTACAAAAATATATTTATAAATATTAAATTATTTTACATATTCCTGTATTTTATATTACGGAATTGTAATTAAAATTAATTTTAATTCAACAAATATTACATAATACTTGGTAATACATTCCTTGGATATTATGATTTTTCTGACTAATTTAAACAGTGAAAATCTGTAGGGGAAGAGTCATCTCCGGCCACCACCACGGAATGGCTCTGATAATATCTTTGTGTGTGTGTCGTAGTGCATATAAAAATAGGGCCTGTAGAATACTATTATACATTTATACCAATACTAAAACACTCAAAACGCCAGTACTAATATAGGTAGTGTATAATAAAAGTGAATTACCATATTAATATACTATGTGTAACTGTGTAAGTATAATGTATACTACCGTCTACCGTACTGTGTAGGTATAGTCGTACTTGGCGATAATAACTAATGTCTATTATAAAAGTAGGATATTATAATGATTATTTCATGTTTATTATTCTGTAGCACTTGAGTCATTCTTGGTATTTAACTTAATAATATAAAAATAAAAAATAATGCACGGTGATAATATTATATAAGCATAAACGTTTAATATATTATGCATGCCAATATTCTACAATAATATATATTGTGGGTTATCGTACATCCCATACCTACGCAATATTTTACGATGGCGAATATGAATTAAAGTAATTAAGTATTATATTATTATTATTTATTCTCTACATATTTTTATATTTTATAGATTGTGCGTTTGTGAACTATTAAATCACGATGATCACCCACAGCATCACGTCGTATGATACTTTGACAGTGCCACAGTGGCATATTTAAGGGGGGGGGGTGATAGGGGAGGGAATCG